GAATTTTTCAAATATTTACTATTTTATTGGCCAGAAATTAGCGTGATAGTGATTATAATGTAATTGTGACTATAAAGGAGTGATTTTATAATTAAAAAAAATCGGACTAACGAACAATGTGACTAAAAGGGAGGCGTGATTGTACAGGAAGTGACTATAAGGGGGGACGACTGTATACGTATATTACGTATCCTAAATAACGTACGTAATATACGTATATTACGTATCCTAAATAACGTACATAATATACGTATATTACGTATCCTAAATAACATACGTAATATACGTATATTACGTATCCTAAATAACATACGTAATATACGTATATTACATATTCTAAATAACGTACGTAATATACGTATATTACGTATTCTAAATAACGTATGTAATATACGTATATTACGTATTTTTATGTATCTGTAATTCTGTCTTTTTCTTATCTTATATACATAATAATTACGTATATATTATACTTTATTTACGAATATAAAAAACATATTATTTCCATATATATTTCCGTATATATATTTCTTATAGGGCGATAATTCCTCAATCCTCAAGGATTTTAAGGAATTTAATCACCGAATAAATTTCTGAACATATTAAAATATTTTGTGATATTGTGAGGGAACAAAGTTTTGTTTGTGACCTGATTAATTTTGTTATCGCTTGAATGATTTCTGGCACAATTTCATCATCATTTGGAAATTGAAAAACTAATTTAAATGTATGTAATCTTATAACGCTTGACTTATTCCAGAAACATTATTTAATGGTAATGTCTATTAAACCTAAAGGATCTCTTATGATTTTCACGCTTGTAAAACCTTTGGTACGATTAACAAGAAGATTTGTAATAACTTTGTAAAATAAAATTTTACGTGTCATATTTGTATCATTTATTTCATCGGTTTCTCCTGAAACGAATTTATCAACTGCATCTTAAACCTGTTAAGATATTTTGGGTAATTGATTGTTGGGGCTGGTAATTTGATAATTAATAAAGGTTGTTTTTCTTCTTTTAAAAGGCATGAAATGTATGAATTTATGCTTATATGGATTTGTTTCAAGTTCAAAAGGTGAACTCCAAAGATATGGAATCGATTAACTAAAAGGCATGAAAAGAATATCCCCTTATTATCACATAAGTTATCTAAGACTAATCAAGACAATCAATATAAGAAAGTATTTGTAAAACTTTTAGCATTGAGAATTTTTAGAGAATATAAAACAAAAAAAAATTCCTTGATCAGGTAGGTATGCTTTTTAAAATGTTAAATCAAGCAGAGCTTTTCCACTTATGCCCTTAATATAATTTTCTGATTTCATACATTCTGACTTATCCTAAAAAAAGTTCTTTCAAATTCCCTCTTTATTCCCTTATCATTGATCAAGTTTATTTTTTCAGATTAAAAGAACTTTTCTCCTTCAATCTTTTTTAATCATGAGATTTTTTTTCATTTATAGATAATTCAATACCGATTGGTAGGGTCTAATTTTTGGTATCTACTTTTGTACAATTACTTGAAATATTTGAAGATTGTGTATTAAAAAATTAAAAATAAAGTCTCAACAATATTTATAAAATTCGACATAAGACCGATAACGAATTGTACTAAATCATCATATTATTTAAAAAATCAGCTTCAGGTTTATAAGTACGATATAGCATTTAATAAAAATTTCATTTTAAAAAAAAAGCTAAGATCTAAATTATGCAAATGCACCTAATCTGATGTGTCACCGTGATATTTCAATTTTTATTTAAATATTTGAGAGAGATTATCTCTCATATTAATGGCTACTTCAAATGAAGGTATTCTATTATTCTATTCTGTAACCATTTTACGATAAATTATTAATATATTTTTTTTAATTTTTGAAAGAATTACATTCTCGCCGTCCTAAGCACTTCGTTAATGATCCAAATAAAGTATTGTATTAGATTTATAATAAAATAATTAAATATCAAGTATTTATAGAAATAACAATTTTGATTTTTGTTAAAATTTCGAAATAAAGATTGTAATTGAATCTCTCCGGGGACTTTGTTTGGCTTATCCCTCATTAAGATTTATTGAAAAGGAAAAAAGTAAATTAAAAATTTTTTTTCTTCAAAAGAAATATAACTTGGTTTACACATATTTTTTAAAATTGTTATATTCAAAAGTTGTCTATAGGGCAGATATCGATGATATTAGAAAAAAACACGTTACTTTGATTTCTGGAGGTATGAATTATGATATTATTGATTGGTAGTATCAAATGATGTATTAATTTCTTTGTTCATTTTAGGTGGAGCTGGTCATGAGCCAACACATGTAAAAATTAGATTTACGTTTCTTTTGTTTCTTTGAATGTTAAATTCATTACTTAGGTTTTTTTTAGGCAGCTTTTGTTGGACCTCGTCTCCTTTCTGCTGCGGTATCAGGGAATATTTTTGCATCACCATCAACTTCTCAAATTCTAGCAGCAATTCGTCGTGTAGAATCAACTCATGGTACTCTCTTAATTGTAAAAAATTATACAGGGGATTGTTTAAATTTTGGCTTAGCAGCTGAAAGGGCAAAAGCTGAGGGAATTAAAGTTGAACTAATTGTTGTTGGAGATGATGTTGGAGTTGGAAGACAACAAGGTGGATTAGTTGGTAGAAGAGGTTTGGCCGGTACGATCTTGGTGCATAAAGTTGCAGGTGCTATGGCTGCTAAAGGGTATAGCTTAATTAGAAATTTTTTCCCTTTTTTTAAAATAAATTTGAAATTTACCCAAGAAATTTAAATCTCTAGGGCACGCCTTGAGGAAGTAAAGAATGCGGCACTTCTTGTTGCTAAAAATATTGGAACCATTGGTGTTGCGTTTGATCGCTGTACAGTCCCAGGAGCAACTCAAGGTTCTTCTTTACCTGATGATGTGATCGAGTTGGGAATGGGTATTCATGGTGAACCCGGATTTCAAAAGATTTCACTTCCTCCATCTCGTAAACTTGTACAAAAGATGTTAGACACTATTATTACCCAGGATGCGGATAGATCTTTCTTGGATATTAAACCTGAAAAAGATCAAATTGTTTTATTAATTAATAATCTTGGAGGTATTTCTACACTTGAGCTTTATGTGGTTGTAAATGATGCTCTTAGCTATTTAGGTTTGTTAATCACCATTTTTACGTTTTAAGATTTTCCTAGTTATACGCTAATAAATAGTTTCTTTTTTTTGTTAGTTGAAAAGAAATTTTATATAAAAAGAGTTTATGTTGGACACTTTATGACCTCTCTTAATATGCCCGGAGTTTCTTTGACGATTTTAAGATTACCAAAGAATTCGGATGTAGTTAATCTATTGGATGAAAGTGCTGAAGCACCAGGTTGGATTAATCATATTAAAGTGGATATTTCAAGTTTAGATACTAGTTTGGATGAGAAAATTTCTCATTCAAATGCAAAAAAAAAGGAGGAAAAACATTTTGTTGTCAATGGTAATTAATTTAAATTATTTCTTTGGTTTAGCTTTACTTGATTTAATTAAAATTTTTTATTTTCTCCTTTTTAGTGGACCCACAATTGTTTGAATCTACAATCAAAGCAGCTTGCAACGCTCTTATCCAAGCCGAACCAGAAATAACAAAATATGATACAATTGTAGGAGATGGGGATTGTGGTGTGACGCTGAAATATGGAGCAACAGGTTAAAAGATTTTTGTTAATTTCTGTATCTTATAGATATTTCAACTAACCCTTTGTATATAGATATACTTGCAGCTTTTGAGGAAGGTCAAATTGTAACCAATGATCTTTCAGAAGGCTTGATGAAAATTAGCAGCTTCTTGGAAGCAAGAGGTGGCACTAGTGGCTTTCTATATTGGTAATTCATAAATTTAACTAATGTTCAATGCGTTAAAAAAAATTTTTTTTTTATAATTTGTTAACATGATTTTTTAAATTCGTAGTTTATTTATAAATGCATTATCAAACAGTTTGAGATATTTCGTCGAAGCTAAAATGAAAGAAGATAGTCACATTAAAAAAGATCAGATTATAGTGGATGGTGAATGTTTTGGCGCAAGTTTAAAGGTAATTTTTTTTTAAAAAAAAAAAAAAATTCTCCAACATACAATATATAATGATTAAATGCTCTTTTTATATATCAAGTCTGCATTAAGTACACTGCAAACTTATACTCCGGCAAGAAAGGGAGATCGTACTATGATGGATGTAATAATTCCATTTATAACAACGTTTACAGACACGTACTCAACCGATTATAATACTTTACTAGCTTTTAAAGATGCAATTGAAGCAGCGAAAGCGGGTGCAGAATACACTAAAGGATTAAAGCCTAGATTAGGAAGATCAACGTATATTGCTGATAACATCATTAAAGAAGCTCAGGTAACTTTTTTTTTTTAAAAAAAAAAAACCATAAAATTTTGTATCCGAAATAATTCATTATTTAAACGGTATTTATAGGTTCCTGATCCTGGTGCATGGGCAGCTTATGTTATCCTTAATGGGATTTATGATAATTTAAGTTAATTTTGTCAGAAATTACTATTGAAGTATTTTTATAATTTTTATAAATATTCAATATCAAAAAAATAAATGTAATTTTATTTTATGGAATATGTAAATATGTTTATCCAGAATGAATAAACAAATATTTATTTTGTAACATTGATATATGATTAGAAATAAAAATGTATTTAAATATAAAAAATATTTTTTAATTATTATGTAAATTATATTATATGTGTATAAAGCATTATTATTTAAATTAAATTAAATTCAAATCAATTGAAATTAATCAATTAATCATTTAATTTAAATAAATTATAATGATAATTACCTTTAAATCATAAAACTTTAAAAGCATTATTTTATTAATAAAAATATTTTAAATTTCAAAATCAATTTTTGATTAATTCAATTCAATTTGAAATTTTTTTGAATTAAATCAAATAAATTGCTTTAAATATTTGATTATAAAGTATAATATAATTATAAAATAATATAATTATAAATAAATTTAAATATTAAAATAATATTTTATTCATAAAACTTAAAAACTATATAATTAATATACTTAATTATTTAAATTTTTTATTACTTAAAAGATGTAATTATAATAAATATAACAAAAATATATTATAATAAAATTATTAACTATTTTTTTTTTTTTAATTATTTCTTAAAGAATATTAATATTTAATAAACTGATCATCATAATAACCTTTAACTATTTAATAATTTTTAATTAATATTGATTAAATAGAATTTAAATAAAAATTTATATTTAATATTTAACTTATTATAAAAAATATTATTAATTTTTTTTCTTTAAATAAACCCTTTATTATATAATAAAAAGACTATTTTATATAAAAATTACTATAAAAAAATAAACAAATATTTTTATTTTTAAAAATACATAATTCAGTAATGATTAATTTTGATATTTTTTAATATTTTAATAATTAATTTAGGTAGTATTAGTGATTGATTTAAAATATTCAATAATAATAACAATTAATAATCTTATAATTGATTTAAATAGTATTTTTATTATTAATTTGATAAATTTAGTAATAATACATTTATGATATTTTAATAGTTAATTTAAATAGTATTAGTAATTAATTTAATAGATCTGATAATAATTATAATTTGTATTAATAATGATAAATTTAATAATACATTTTTTTTAAATATAAATTTTAATATATCTAATGGTAGTATTTTTAAACTTTTAAATTAATAATTATCAATATATATTAAATTTTCAATTTTTTAATTTTTAAAAATAATTTATTATCTAATAATTACAAAATATAAAATTTATTTTTTGGATTCATCATATTAAAACCTATTAAATGGTAGTATTTTTATATTTTTGAAATTGATAAATAGCAAGATATATGAGCTTAAAATTTAATTTTTTTTATAATAATTTATTATTTATTTATTTTTAAAAAATCACTAGTTAATTATATTTTTTTTTAATTTTTACTTAAAATATATCATAAAATTTATTATAAAAGTATTAATTTTTTAATAATATATTTTAAAATATTTGAAATTAATTAAAAAGAATTATAATTAAAAATAAATTGCCTACAAATTTGTAGGTAAAACAGTTGAGAAAATAATAAATCATGTGATACGTAACCAATTAAATATGTTAATTTTTCCTCTCTATAATAAAGTAACCAATTAATTTCTTCAAATTTTTTTACTAATTTGCTATAACAAAATTAAGATGCAGAATAGCTATTTCATTATATTAAGGGTAAATTATCATATTTAATTTTATTACATCAATTATATATAAAAATTTATTAATTAAAGTTTTGCAAAAAAATTATTCAATATTATTTTACCTCCTATAAATATATAAGTAAATTACTATAAATACTTAAATACTAATTATAAAATTTTTCAAATTTTTTAAAAAAATTACTTTATTTTTATCATAATTAAATTTTTTATTTTTATTAATTTGAAGTTAAAATAAAATAAATTTTAATAATAAAATAATAAATAATATTAGAAAATCATTTATAGTTTATTTTTACAAAATATAATAAAAATTTAAAATTATTTTTATTTAAATTTATAAAATTTTATTTAATATATAGAGGGCTACCAAAAGTCTATAAACACTACTTTTATGTGTAATTCAATATCAGCAATTTTATGTGACTTAGCAAATTTGCAGTCATATGATATTTTGAATCTTATTTAAATGAATTATACATTAAAATGCATTTTCAAATGTTTATGATAGTTTTTAGAAAGATAATGCTCAATCTCACAAAATGAACAAAATGAAGAAAGCGAAAATTTTTCATACAGAAAATAATATGCAAATTCTTTTATTGTTTGCTCAAGTTCAAACATTAATTTGATCAAAAATCTGTAGGCTGATATCAAAAAAAAAACAACTGTAAAAGAAAAAAAATATCTTCTAATATTGTTGAACTAGAACGGTATATTAAGAAATTATAAAAAAAAATTTTTATATATATTATTGAAAATTTGATCAATAATATAATACAATGAATTCAAACTATAATTAAAGCAAATAAAGACCTGATAAAGTACTAATTAATTAGTATGAAATTTATTTTATATGTCATTTTTAATAAATATTTAACAAATTTTTTAATTAAATTTTAAAAATTTTAAATGTTTTATTAAGCCAAACAGTATTCAAAGACTTTTGATGACTCTCTATATATAATAAAAATAGAAATTTTGAATTATAGATTAACATTTAATAAAAAATATTTTTATATTAAAAATTAATATTTATTTTCAGTTCATAATAATAATTTATCTATTAAAAAAAAAAGTCAAAGATTAATAAATATCAGTTATAAAATATTTTTAAAAAATTATAAATTATTAATTATTAAAAAAAATATAGTTAAATAATAATTTATCAAATAAAATAGAAAATAAAATTAATTTAATTTAATTAGATATTATATGTTCAAAATAAATAAATACTAATTTTATTTTGTTAAAATAATAAAAATTAATTGATTATAATAAATATATAATAAATATAACATTATATAAAAAGAGAATTATACTGTTATATTTCCAATTATATATGAATAGAATTAATGTAATATAAATAAAGATTTAGTTTATTTGTTAAAAATGTGTTTAATTCTATAATTTTAATAAATAATTTAGTTTTAATTTGTTAAACATTTTAAGTAATATAAAGTATTAAAAAAAAATAATTTTATTTGTTAATTAATTAAAATATATAATTGTTATTATATAGTATTTTAATTAATAAACTATACCTTTATTTATTACTTACTTATTATTTGCTTTTAATTTACTATACTTATAATTAATAATTATTTAAATAAATACTATTAAATAAACTAAATTTATTTATAACTAAGAAAATTTTTTTTATATATAATTTTTTAATAAAATTATAAATAATAAATAACTTCTCAGAATTAAGATTCAGAATAAATTATAATAAACTTATTTTCAATATAATAAATTTTTAATATAATATAATTAAAATTTCTATTGAATTTGATTTAAGAGATTTAAAACTAAAACAAAATAATAAAATAGTTAAAAGAAATAAATTTTAACAAATTTATAAATAAAACCAATAGAAGATTTTGTTTTAACAATTTAGTATAAGTAGTGATTGAAATCTGCTGATTGTTATAAACAAATGTAATTTATTATAAATAAGCTAATCAATTTCTTTTTTTCAATTTTGAAGTCTCATCCTTTTAAACTTCACCAAATGATAATAGTAGCACAATCCACTAATATAATAGCTCAAATGATTTTTTAATGCTTACTAGCTTACGATTTACAACTCAATGATATGAATAAATAAAAATTTGTTGATGTTCTTAATTAGAAAGAAGAGAAAATGTGCTAAATCACCAAAAACAACATCACCTTCAATGAATTCTGTTCTAATTAGAAACACCACCGAACTTGTTGATTGTTGAATTTCTTAATTTCTTTGGGAACTGATATAAACTCTGCTCTATTAATTGATCTTATTTATTTATTTATTTTTGTAATGTCGGTACTTCATTTATAACAAAAGAGTTAGAGTTCCGTTTTATTGATCCAATAAAGTTCTGAAATCCACCAAAATATATTCGATTATAATCCAGGGCCATCTAACAACCCTGATTTATTCATAATATCCTATATTTATACGATTAACATTGATAACCCTAAATCGAAACAAATGCTTAAGTATTCCGCAAAATTGTTTTGCTTTCGGGTGGGTACTTATAGCATTGAAAAATATAATCACGTATAAGGAATATTTTAAAAGAATGCACGATAATCTTGATAAAAATCACATATGCGTTCGATGGACTTATAAATTTGTTTAAACGATGTCAAATTATTGATTTTCTGAAGAAATCATCATATCTTGACATGACTTAATTAATGACTAGGTAAATGACAAAGAAATAAGTAAAGTTTTAAAAATCAACCATTTTAACATTAATTACAAACGGATAAGTTACCTGCAGTTCCATCATGGCACCTTCTTTACCGAAACCTCCTTTTGGAATTCTACCATATTCCAGATCACTCAATTCATCATTGGCACTGTTTTCAGAATTTCAATGAAAAATAAAGTAACTTAAAAGTATTGATAACGAATATATTTTACAATAAATACCTTTTTATCTTTTCAAACGATCTTTTACAATGCTCATTGAACACGATGATTTTACGTGACATCTTCTTCTCGGCCACGGTTAAAGCATCAATAGCTTGATCCAATGTTAGTCGATTATCGTCAACCTTTATACGTTATTATTAAGAAATGATCCATTCACGTATTTTATTTTAAAAAATACATCCAATGATTAATGCCCCTACCTCTTCATACATTTCATCCTCGTCATCATCATCATCATCATCAACTTGGGCGCTATCAAGGTTTTCCAAATGTTCGGGCTTTTTACATTCCTCAACGATATTTTCCCTAATGGTTTCTCTAATTCTATTACGTTCCAATTGAAATTCTCGATATAAGGTCTTGACAAGAGGATTGTTTCTGTCAATATAATTATGAGTTTCTAATTGATTTGATTTAACAAAAAAGCATTTGGTCAAAGTTTACCGAATATTTTGAACTTTATCTACCTGTAAGTTGCGGGAAAAAGGTTAGTGAACTGTTTGAGGGTCAGGTTGTCTGCGAGTTCGCTGTTGAATAAAAAGGAATTGAGAACCGACTCTTCGGTGGCCATACTAATGAATGTTGACTGAAGTTCAATACAAAAAGAAATAATTTAACGGGAAATGAAAAAACGCGACCCTTAAAGTAGATAATCAATGTGGTGGTGTAACGATCAAACCGTGCAACCTCAAAATTCGTGTTTTTTTGAACTTTTTTATTTTTTAACAATTAAAATTACAATGAATCATTTAAAGAGCGCTATTAAAGATTCTATCTAAAAATGGTAATAAAATGATAAGTTAGTAAAACTTAAATATAATTAATTTTTTTTTTTTGTCGAGAAAACGTCATCAAATACTCACCATAGAAACTATAACTGTAGGGTTTGACCTCACAAAGGGATAAATCACCAATTTTAATTGCTCCTTTATCAATTAAATCATATTTCTTTTTAAAAGTTTTAAATCCCTTATTCATATAAATGTGATGTTTCTCATTGCTACTATTTCTTCTACAATGTAATTCGGGATTAAATCTACAATAACCCATCCCATAAATGCCTTTTTTATATTTAACTAATTTTAAACATTTTACCTCTTGAGAATATTTTATAACGGTATGAACATAATCAAAATCATGTAAATGAAAATAATTTAATTCTAAGGTTTGTATTTGAGCCTTGCATTCTTTTAAAAAGAAATTTAATTGATTTGGAGTTAAAAAAAAATTGATTCCCAAGTAATTTAAAGAATGTGGTAATTTACTTGCCAATTGTTGCAAGTCATATTCATGAAAATTGGGATAACCATCCTGAATTTCCAAGGTAAAATGTTCAAGTAATTTTAAAGAATCAATTAATTGAAAAAAGCTAGATATATAAAATGAAAACGTTGAAATATTTAAATAAGATATGTTTGGACAATGTTCCCTCATGATTTCTACGATGTCTCTCGTGATATATCTTGAGGAGAATGTTTGAAGGTTACGTGATGTCATTCTAAGAAAGGTCTTAAAAAAATTTTCATTCCCAATGATGTTTTTATGATAAAAATGTTTCACGGAAATTTGATGATTGTTTAAATAAAATTGTTGGGAAGGATTTCGATTGGTGAAAAATGAAGTCCTCTCCTGAGTAATCTCCAACGTTTCCAACTTTGTACAACTTATTAAGATTTGAATTAAAAGGGAATAATCATTCACGATTTGAAATCCAAGAAAGGTTAAAGAATTCTCATGACTTTTTATCGCTTTAAAAATGGCCTCTTTATTAAAATTAATGCAATGTTCATTTATCACCAAACTTTTTAATTCGATCATTGATTGAATGAAATGAGGGATGATGTCAAAATTATTTTGTAAATGATCGTGATCATTACGAATGATGAGTAATAAATGTCGAACATTCCTTAATAAACTTGAGACGCTACCGGTGAGTGTATTATGAAGGAGAGAAATCGCGCATTGAAATTCTAACTTTTGAATATTTGAAAAAACTTTGGGTAGATTTTTATTACAAGAAATAATTTTTTGAAGGGCATGATTATAATCACTTAAAGTATAATTATTTACAAAATGTTTAAAACCATAAGAAGTGTCAAAAATCATATTTATTAATAATTGAAATAAAAAGATATCATTGTTCTTATCCTTGGAGTGATATCTTTTATAAAGGCTCGTGAATTTTTCAGAGTTAAAAGTTCGTATGTATCGTGGGTAATCGAAAAGAGGTGGTGGTGATTGGGAGAGGAAATGAAATTTAACATTTCTTATTTGTAAACGTTCTTTATCATTCTCGGAAAGGCATGATATGAGAGTTTGTAGGAGGATGTTTCCTTTTTGATTTGGAAGTTCAAATGGGTTATACCATAAGAATGGCATCGCCATACGACACCATAATCGATTCACTCGAATGCATGAAAAAAGTGTGTGATGGTCATGTTTTAAATAATAAAAGATTTCCTTTAAACAATCCGGAAATCGTTTTAATCGAATTTTTTGAGGGTTTGAGCTTTTTTTGATAAGCAACTTTTGTTTTAATCGTCGAATGCTGTGTTTCATTATGAGTCAATCAAATCGTGGAAACCTTTTTTTTTTTATAAAAAGAGTGAAAAGTCAAAAGAAGAAAATAAAAATAAAAAAAAAAAAAAAAGGTGAAAAAAAAAAGAAAGGAGGAGTGAAAATGATTAAGACAGAGAAATCGATAGTACCGAATATATCACTCATTATTTTTATTTATACATTTATTTTTTTTTTTTTTTTTTAAAAAAAAAAAAAAAAAAAAATTTAAATATTTATCGACAGTTATCCTTTTTGTAACATCAATTTGCATCAGCTAAAATTAGTTGCAGTCGTATTCATTGGTACATAATATTTGTCATTTCCGTCCTTATTTGATTCGTCCGGAAAGTTTTTGGACATCGTCTGAATGTGGCACAGAGGAATTTTAAATTCGAATATAACGTTATACGACGCCAGCACGTCAAGATTTAGATTGATTAAAGATTTATTTATCTCAAAGCGATCCATGAAATATTAAATCTAGAATATTAGGAAGAATGTCAGAGCTTTTTAACAGGGTCGAATAAAAATTATTCTAATTTTTCGACTTACCGTAAATGACTAAAGTTAAAAAGGTTTACCTCGCAAACACCTAAATCACCCGTTTCGACGGTAAAATCCTGTTCAACCAATCCATTTAAACCGGGAATTCCTTTCTTTGATTTAACTTTTCTCAAATGATTAAAATGTCCAACGAGACCTTTAAGTAATCCAAATCGTCTCGATGAATATGCATCAAATCCAACTTTAGCACATTCTCGAAGAAAGGAACTTAATTGATCAGGAATGATAGAAAAATTCCTTTACCAATTCATAATCCAGTATCGGCCATTCATCTTCCAATTCTAAAGTAAAAATGTTCAAGGGACTCCAACCACCGATTAAATGTATCAAATCGAGTATATGATTTGATCTCATTGAAATATTTAGACGAGTTAAACCCGAATTATGACGTTCCATCGTATCCATTATATCTTTGGTTATGTATCTGGATGCAAACGATTTTAAATTTTGTGATGACATTTGAAAATGAAATTTGTAATTCCGCTTACATTACGATGGTAAAAGTGCCTGATGCGATTTTCTTGATGCGTGTAATCCTCGTCGAATGGTTTTCTCGTGATTCTCCTGTTGAGTAACTTCCAACATTTCCAAATTTTTACATTTTGATATTAATCCCATCAACGAAGAATTATCATTTATCACGCAAAATCCCAAATGTTTCAAAGAATTTGAATGAGTTGATAATATGGCGTTGTGTATCGACGAGTTCTTATAACCCAAACAATATTCGTTCATCGCCAAACTTTTTAGATTTGACCGAGGATGAAATGGCCCCTATCAAATGAATGATAAAAGTTATACTTTCCCTCATTCACGATAAGAAATATGTTCGTGTATTATTTATGTAGATTCGAATCTCAATTCTTGAGAGTTTACTAAAGATTTTTGAAATATGATGGAAGAGTGTATGTCATCAATCAATCTATAATCAAAAAATTCTATTGATCGTCGAAATGTAATCCAATATTCTTAGTCGGTTAAATGGATAAAATATCATATTCCATTAAAGATGAAGTATCAATGTAACATTCGTACTAAATGATTGCTTAACGGATTTAATCAGATATTCTGAATTGAAACAATTGATAAATTTTGGATAACTAAATAATGGTGTCTTCTCCTTAATCGAAAATCTCAAGACTCTTCTTATACCTTCCAAGATTGCTTTATTCGTACTACGGTAAACAAGTTATTAACGTTTGAATGAGTAAATGTCCTCTTGGGTTGTCATGTTCGAATGGATGATACCATAAATATGACATTGCTAAACGACTCCATAATCTATTCACTTGAACACACGAGAACAATGTTGTCCGATCATGTTTCAGGTTATTGAGTATAATGTGAATACAATCAGGAAACGATTGGATACTAAATCTGTTCTTTCTTTTTCTACCGAATTCGCTTCTGATAACCCTTTGAATTCATCAACGTTGTGTTTTTTCTTTACAAAATGACAAATATTTTTTAAGATATTTATTTCTACCGTTTATTGTGATTTATTTAGGAAGAAAACTTTGCGAATTCTTTTATTTTTATTTTATGGGGGGGGGGGGGGAATTTGAATAAACAAAAAAATAAAAAATAAAAAAAAAACCCCCCCAAAAATAAGGGATTTGTTTGTGATACGCGAAAAATTCATGACCTATTGTAAAGATAACGACAAAAAAGGTTTTATAAAATCTTTTACGTTCTTTATTGGTCCATAATAAGAAACAACAAAACAAACGCTTTGTGACCATAAAATACTGCGCATAATATATTGATGAAGGACAAGATGATCTGCGTCACTTAATTTTCGAAAATTCCAAAGTTTGAGATCTGCGTTACTTTTGATTAAATAATTAAAAACAAAAAAAAAGCTAAAAAGATTTCAAATTCCTGAACATCGCTTTACACTCCCGAATTTTAATCAAAAATAATAGTTTAATATAATGCATTTTTCGATGTCATTTTTAACTAAATTAAGTAATAATTTAATGATCATTTTTTGGAAAAATTTATATGAACGTAAAACTTAAAATGAAATTTATTTATTTAAATTATAAATAATAATTTTCAAAAACATAATCTTATCCGTAACTACTATATAAGTAAATATTTTAAATTAGTAATTAATTTTTTATATTTACCGCTATTAAAATATTCATTAATATCTAGTTGAAAAGTCACATGCCTTCAGAACTGCTTTTATCCGATGTTCCATACTATTAACCAGTTTTTGATAAACTTGACTAGAAATTTGTAAGCATGTCTTTAGCAGTGAATCTTTCTAATTCAATTATGTTTTTGGGTTTACCTTTCTTGATTAGATGTTATATTTAACAAGTGCTTAATTGGATATAAATCAAGACTTTGTCCTGGTCATGGTAAAAGAATCATTGCATTTTCTTCAATGAACATTGTGTTTGATTACTTGTATGGATAGGTGTGTTGTTTTGTTAAAAAAAATTTTAACCATTTTTTTCTTCAAATTCTTCTAAAAATAGTATTAAATAATATCTAATAATTTTATTTATGTATTTTTCACTATTAATCTAACCATCTATTTTTACAAAGGGGCCTAACCCTTACTGTGAAAATTATGATTCCACTTCATCATGTTTTACTATTAAAACAAGTAATTAATATCATAATTTTCCTTTAAGCAATGCTAAATATAAGGTTTTCTATCATTTTAAAATAAGGTAAACCTTAATTTATTACTTTAAATTACTTTTTTTCAATTATTGATTGTTTATAAGCTTCTTTCTTGTAATTACTTTAATCAAAATGTCTGTTTATTTTATTTATATAAGATTTTGAAAGGTAATTTGATTATGATATTTTATATTATAGAGTTTATTATGTATAGTATATAATAGTTAATTCACAAAAATTTATAGATATCAATGATTTTTACAGCTTAGCTGTAAAAATAATGATATTCATAAAATTCTTATAAAATAACTTTTTTTTATAATCTGAAAACTAATGACTATAATAAAAAAAGTTAATTTTACTATTCAAATTATATAAAAGTTATATTAATATAATTCTTTTTTTTATAAATTATTATTTTTCTTTTATTTTTATACTTTATTCTTTTATCTAAAAATTTTCATGGTTAAAAAGGTTAAAAATGCTTTAGAAGTGTATTAATAAAAATAATAAAAATATTTCAAACTGTTTTTACTAATGCAAATAGTCTTTTAATAAACAATTATCTAAAGCTATTTACTCTTATTATAAATGAATCTATATTTATAATTGTAAATATAGTTGCAAGACAAAACCCTAAATCCATTTTAACAAATTGAAACTTTTCAGAAATTGTTTTAACAGTATCAATAGTTTTGACAGGATTTAACAATTTCGATGAGTTTTGATAAATTTCGATAAGTTTTAATGAGTTTTGATGAGTCTTAAAAGTTTCAACAGTTTTAACAGTTTTGATAACAACTTTGTAAATTCTTAAAAAGGATGTGAATATACTATCTTATATAGACTAATACTTAGACTATTATATTGGATGATTATTCTAAGAATAAAATTAAGACCTTATTATATTTTAATCTATCAAAAATTATATTATTAAGTTAAATAATTCCAAATAATGAAATTTTTTTTAACGCTTAAATAGGAGGGGATAGTTACAATATAAAAATATGAGTATCATTTTTATTTTTTTTTAAAAAAAAATAAATAAAATTAAAATATTCTTTATAAATAATATCTAATATAAAATATTTCTTAAATATTAAAAATTCTCATATATGTACTATAAATGAGAAAATGGGTAATTTTGTTACCCATTTACCTATGAATAATAAAGATAAATATAGTTATTCATCAAAAAGAATATTATTTAATAAAAACTATACTACATAAGTATACTTATGAAAAATTTTTATATGCATAGTTATAATTTTATCATTTATTAACCAAATTTTAATATAATCTAAAAACTTTATATTGATGATATTGAGAGAATTTGAAGAATTCATTTAAAGTTGAAAATTTTGTTATATATTTTATGGTAAATAACAAAATTGATTCTTTATCTTCCTATTGATGGCTTCTATTAAAAAATCTGCGAATAATTTGATAAATATTATACACAATGAAAAAAAGAAACTGCTAAAACTCCTTTTGATGAATTGATTACTCACAACAAGCTAATTTGTTAACAACAATAACCATCATTAAAATATTTGTCTCCATCAAAACTTTGCCAACTGTTAAAACTTTTGCCATTTGTCAAAACTTTTACAATTTTACCTTTAATAAAAATTTGATAAAACGTTTTAATGGATTTTGATTTTGATCCTTATCAAAATCTCAAGGTTTTGCTCAGCAACCTTAATTATAAATTAACTAAAAATATAATAATTAAAAATAATAAATAATATTGTAAAATAACTAATAAAAATTTTAATTTTTACAAAAAAATAAGTTATATAATGATACTACAAAGAAGTAATATTTTGCTAATAGATAAGAAAATATTATAATAAAAATAGATCACAGATACAAAGTATTCATGTATATAAAAATATTAATGAAAAACAATATCTTAAAATATATAATAAATTGTTAGTATCATAGTAATTTAAAAAAATATTTATTAAATATCACATTTGTAAAAATAATTTTATTTTTATATTTACTTATAATATAATAAATAATAATTTACATTAATATTTTTTATGATTATTAAATTATCATTATAAAAATTACAAGTAACTTTTATAAATATGAAAATTTTATTTCTAATTAAATTTATAAAAATTACTTGTATTTTTTTTATAGATTTATACCTTTTTTATTAATAATAAGTTTTAAATTTTATTTATTATATTTATTAAATTTTAAGTTATTAATTTTGAGAAATAATAATAAAATATCTGATTTATAATACTTTGATATTATATCATAATAGCTATTTTTAAATAGTCTATTTTTAGATATAGTTCTTTCAAAGTCTTCTGTTTAATAAAATTAATAATTATTTTATTTTCAAATTTGTAAATTATTTATTTTATATATTAAAAAAAAGTATAAAAAATACTAAAGAAATACAAAATAAAAAGAAAATATTTGCATAATAATTATTAAATTATTTAATTTTAATAAATATTATATAATTTCATATAATTACTAAAGATCTACAAATTACAAAAATAGTTTTAATAGAGAATATATAAAAGATAAGTTATTAAAAATATATTACAGATCATATGATTTACTATATTTATAACTCAATTTTAATAATAAATCTTTATATAATAATTAAATAAATATAAAATTATTATAATTTATATTACTTAAAAATTTTTAGTTAATTAATAATCTAAAGAAGAAAAATAATTTATATTTCTTTTTTTTAAAAAATATTACAGTTATCCTTCTTTATAATCATATACCTTAGAACTAAAATAAAAAGTATAATTATGATAAAATGTGATTATATAGAGAGACTTTTATATATTATTACTAAATATTAATTCTGAAAAGATGTGATTATAAAATTATTATAATTATAAAAAATTTTTATATGACATTAATAAGTATTGCTTTTTATGAAATATTTATTTATAATTAGAGATTTATATAATATAATTATATAAAAAGTAACTATAGAGGAGAATGACTATATATTAATTAATTATAAGAAATTCTTTTTAATAAAAATTTTTAAAATTTTTTATTAAATATTATATAATATAAATTTATTTTTTAAAAAATATTCTTATCGTTATATAAAAATTTTAATAGTTTTTCAATTTTTTAATAAAAATTTTTATTAAAAATAAAAAAAATTAAATATCTATAATTAGAATATAATATATAATAAATTAATTTATAATAAAAAATATTTTGCAAAAATGATATATTTAATAGTTAAAAATTATTTATATAAATTAAATAAATGTATTAAATTAAAAATCACAAATACTAAACTATTATAAATAAATATATTAAATAAAAGATCAGCTGTAATATATTAAAATAAAAAAATATTATTTAATTATTTTATAAATTTAATATAAAAAGCTTATTGGATAGCATCAAATATCTTATCATACTTTATATTTAATTTTTAAAAATAGTTTAATTTTAATTATAGATAAAATTATATTAATAATTATTATTTTTTATATTTTTATTAAATAAAAAAATATTATATTTTATTATAATTATAGGAATTATCTTAAAACTCAGTTATTATTAGTAAAAAATAATCAAGTTATATTAATAACAAATTTATAAACTAGAATAGAGTTAATAAACAGTTTAATAAATCATATAAGATATTTTATTTGAGAAATAATGTCAATTAATATACATTAACCTACTATAATAATAATAGAAGAGAATAAAGTATTTTATAATACTTATTAAATATAGTATAGATGAGGAATAAAACTTCTTAATAACAGTTAAAACTTAGACGAAATTATATTAAAATTATAATAAGGGATATGATGAAATACATTCAATATAATGAAAGCTGAAACTATCAAAATTATATTAAAAATATAGAAAAGGGTATGACAAAATTATTTGAAAAAATTTCAACAGGCATCTATAAAATATAGTTAAAAAGATAAAAATGATATAATATTTCTCATCTTTAGAAAATTATATATATTATTACAATTAAATCTTAGAAAAAGATTAAAATTGACATAGAAAACAAAAATTTTGTAGCAGTTTTAATCTTTATTAACTGTTTTAAGTATGTTCACTTAATGATATGTATTTTAAACTGTTTATTTTTGATAGAATTTAACATATTAAGAACTATAGAAGATTTTAAGAATAGAAAGTTGAAGAAGAATATTTGCAGTCTATATATTATTAATATATAATTTTAATTAGTATTGGCAATAGATATATCCATTGGCATAACAATGAATAATAGACACTTTTTTATTATTTCTATTTTATCTATTACATTATCTATTGTGTTCATTATATCCATAATGATAATGTAATACAAACTAAGATTAAACTTAAATAGAAAGAGTTAGAAATAAAAGAGATTTAAATTACATAATTTTTAATAAAACTCTTTTTAAATATAATGATACATACAGGAGGAAAAGTATTACATCTATTAACTTCATAATTTAAAGTATTTCACAATAAAAATGCAAATAAAAATAATAAAAAGACTCTTTGTTTATCTTATATTAGATACAGGAGGTATAAAAAATATTGGTCAGTTTTAAAATTTTTATTATAAAACAACTAACATATAAACATTAAATTTTTTTTATTTTATTAAATTACAAGTCAATATTTGTTAAACTTCTATTTGCAGCAATAATAGCTTAAACTTGACGTAATATAAACTTGATCAAATTATAGTAATAATTTGCAAATACTGTATCCTATTCTTCCTTGACCTACTATTTTAATTGTGTAATGCTTAATGGTTGTAAATTACATTGATAAATTCTAACTTTAATATACAATCAAATATTTTTTATAGGATTAATATCAGAACTTTGAGCTGGTCAGAGAAATAACTTAATATTAAAGAATTTGATGAAAAAACATGTAATTTTTGCAGTATATACAGATGCATTATCTTCTTAAAAAAATTTTTTTTTTTGTATGAGATTTAATCATGAGAATTAAAATTTTACAATATGTATTTTTAGTTATACGACTAACTAAAAGAATCAGAGAACTCATATTGACCTAAGAAAAATATCCTAAAACATGCGATCAAATCTCTTTTAAACTATAGCTATAATGCAGTCTTCATGAAATTTTTTGAAGATTATACTATACCTGCCTAAAATCTGAGATTTAAAATTATATATAAGTAAACTCATCTGATTATACTACATTTTAAAGTCTTCTATAATTCAAGTTTCATAAGTACAAAACTAAAGTAATTATCTTTCTTTATTTTTTTTAAAAATTAATAGACTCAAATGAGAAATACATGAATAAAAATTTTGTCTAACTAATTTATTATAGACAATTTGTGTAAAAATAATTTTATTTGTTTTATTCTTAATATTTAAATGAATTTAAGAGAGAATTTGATAGCAGTTTTTTTATTTTTAACCATTAAATACTTAAGATATTTTCGTTTATCCTCATTAATTCTTGATCAGCCTATTCATTTCTTTGAAAGTTTATTTAGTTTATATAACTCTCATATATACTGTACAAAAGAATAAAAGTAACCAACAATTATCACAATTCTGCTATTTAAATGGTCTAATTTTTTTGCAGTAATAATTCTACCTTTTTGATTTTTATTAAGTTTATTTCTAAGATATATCATTATAGCAAATTTTTTCACATAATAAAATGTAAAAAAATTTTTGTATGCCTTTATAATCAAATTTATGCATCATAATTACATATTGTTTATTTTTATTTTTAGATATAATTACAAACTATCAAAAATAAATTTATGATTTGATCAGACAAAGATATAATAATATATACCATTTTTACATCATAGTAATCAGGATAGCTAATACTTTTTGTATCTCTGTATATAAGATAAATTTTTTATTAAAAGATAAAAATGATAAATTTACAAATACTTAATATTATTATTGTAAATATCTTCAAACTTGTCAAAATTTTTTAACTGAACATGAATTTAACAAAGTTAATAAAATATTAGTATTATTAAAATTTCATATTATAACAATAACTATAAAATGTCAATTTATTGGTAATTTTAAATTAAATTTCATCTAATTAATATTAAATTTAAATATTTATTATTACAATATAACTAAATTCAAATAATACAATATATTGAAAGAAGAAGATTTATTTATTTCTAATTTAGATATTTTATTTTAAAGAATAGTATAATAAATTATTATTTTTTTTGATAAAATTTGAAATAAATAAAATAATAGTAAATTTTAAATATGTTTTATTATTTTTTTTTATTAATTATGTATTAATAAATATAAGTAAACTTAATAGATAATAATTGACATCTTTATCATATATCTATTACTTAATCAATAGATAATAAACAGTATTATTTATAATTTATGTAGTAATTTAATATAATTCAGTCTTTTAGTCTATTATATATGATGATGCTTAAAAATTTTATTTCATTTTTTTTATAAGCATATAGATATCAAAATATTTTAAGTTTCCTAAAAATGTTTTAAAAACAATTTTATACTTACAGTTTAAGGGATAATATTTTTTTTTAATAAAAATTTAAATTATAATTATATAAAATAATTACTAAACTTAAGAAGTGTATTATAGTTGATATTTATATTAATATGGTAATGCGGTTAAATAATTAACCGATTAGGAACACTATCGTCACCATATAAAAAAACTTATTTTTAAAGCGAATGTAAAAAAAAAATAATCGCCCAAAAGAGTATTTGTTAAACGATTTATTATTATTATTATTATTTTTTTATTTTTTATTTTTTTTCTCTTCACGGTTAGACTTAAAATACAACAAAAAGTAATTTGTGATACTATAAGTGATACCATAAGTCTTTATATATAAAAATATTTATCCAAAAATATACAGTTAAAGAAATAAATAAATAAATAAAGGATTTTTTTCTTTTTACTTTTTACGGTAAGTAGAAAAAATTATGAATTAAAAAAAAAATTCTAAAAAACAATTCCTATAAACACTATAAAAAAAAATCCATCACCTCTCCTCATTCTCGCTCAGTAACAACTCTAACAAATTTAATATTCTTAGTAGAGTTTTTAATACCCGATCTACTAAAAGCATTCCTTGTTAAATAAATGGTTTTCATCAAATTAGTGTAATTACCATTATTACCGCCCGAAAAAGCAGCAAGAGCACTTTTATTCATTGATTTAACGATCCATTCGGTACCAGTATCACCGATCAAATTGCCTTCCAAGTGTAAAGTGTGTAAGGTTTGATTGACCAGTAAAGCATTGGACAAAAATTCGGCACCTCTATCGTCGATATGATTCTCGGCCAAAATCAATACTTGTAAATGTTTATGTTTTTCCAAGGATTTTGATAAAGCTTCGGTACCTTTATTACCCACTTTACTATGTTCAAGATTTAATGTCACGATGGACCTATTTGTTTCAAGCCCTTTGGCCAAAAATTCTATACCCTTATAACCGATATCATTATTACTAAGGTCCAAAGAATGTATTTTACATCTTGATCTTTCTATCACTTTTGATAAAAATTCAATACCTTTTGTTCTTAAATTATTCCACGATAAATCAAGGGTTTCAACGATAGAATTTGATTCTAATGCTCTGCATAATGATTCCATCCCATTATCACCAAAATTGTTTCCCGCCAAATCAATATGTTTGATGGTCTTGCTAATTTCCAGAGATTTTGATAAATATCCGATGCCTTGATCTCCGATATTATTATCGGTAAGTAATAAAGTGTGAATGAAAAAATTATTTTTTAACGATTTGGCTAATAAGACAGCTCCGACCTTCTCAATCTCGCTTCCTTTTAATGATATCGTTGTTATCGTGTCATTTGTTTGTAATACGTGGGTTAAATATTGCCATTTCGTACCAGGTTGAAAATCCAGTAAATGTAAAGACCTTATTGCGGGATTATATTTTAATATGTTTTTAATTTGTTCAGGTGTTGAAACATCACCCGCGTGTAATTTTAACGTTGATAATTGATCCAATTCATCTTTATATGATCTTTGTATTGATTCAATCTTTCTCTCTAAAGCCATCATTTGCATATTTATTCCTCTAAATGCCTCTTTAAAAGGTTCAAATTTACATGATTGTAAATGCTCACTTAAATGTCTTCTTTCAAATTCTTCTAAACATCCTCCAAAACTACCTAAAATATTCTTATGTGGACAATTTATTTTCTTATTTAAACATACGAATCCATGCTCTTTTAATTCATAATGTAATAAAGATTTATTGCACAAGGGACATGTTACCGGTCGATTGATACATTCTTCTGACATATGTAACTGATAGAGAGATTCAAGGTTGAGTATATTTCTTTTTTTTGTAAAAAAAGAAGAAAAAGAAAAAGAAAATAATGTAACTTACTTCAAGGTCTTCTAATTCGTAAAATTTTTGTTTGCATCCTAAAGGGCAACCAATCGTTTTATGCGGGCATTCTCTTCGATGTTTTTCAATATCTTGACGCTTTAAAACTTCTTTACAATCCTGATGATTTTCATGCTCGTTACAATGTACAGGAATCAATTGACATTCGATCTGTTTTTTTTTAAAAAAAAAAAAATTGGTTGTTTTATTTTTTTAGTAAGCCGTTTTTTTTTTTTTTTATTAAAAAAAAAAAAAACTTGAGGGGGTACTTACTTGTAAATGAGATTTTAAATCATGTCTAGTTCCCTTCCAATTACATTCAGGAGAGAAGTTACAATACACGATTAATTGATCCAAAACATTTTGTACGTTAATATCGGAATGGAATTCATTTTCAACGCAATGAGTTCTACAAATTGGACAAGACTTATTTTGAACCAATGCTTGCGTTATACAAGCGTAACAAAATAAGTGTTTACATCTTTTGGTTCTTTTTACTATATCAAAGACGTCATGACAAATCGAACAAAATAAATCTGGATTTATTGAATCAGGGTCGTTGTAATTATATTCTTCTCTTACGATGGTAAATGAAGGTCGTTTCGGTCGGGTCATTAATGACATCCTCTTATGAATGATATTCTTTTGATTTTTAAACGAACAAATTTGAGTGCAAATGTTGCAAAAGCTCGTTGAATGGTCAAATAGAGTCTCCTTTTATTTATTTATTTTTTTTTTAAAAAAAAAAAATTCGTACAATTAAATTTATCAAATCGTGAAAAATAGAAAGGAGGCTCGACTTGGTTAATCTATGCTAACAATGATGTCTTATAATAAGCAGATAAAAATATGAGGAAAAATGAGAGTGTATGGTGTATGGGAAGGAGTATACGGGGTAGAAAGTTTTTTTAAATTTAGAAAATGGATTTTTTTTTTTTTATTTTAAAAAAAAGGGTAAAATAAAATAAAAAAAAAAAAGAAACAAAGCGGCTGGGTTTTTAAAAATGTCTCATTTATGTGCCGAATATAGAATAAATTTATTGAATTATTCGGAAATAATGTAAGTGGATCATCAAATTACATAAAAAGGTTGATTTATAATTGTACCACGAAATAATTTAATTTGTGCAGCCACATCACCTTTTTTAAAAGCACAAGATAGAAATTAAAATAATGCAAATAATAAAATAATCCTAAAATTCTTGGCTGGTAAACAATTTTTTAGGTTATTTGCGATTGTACAAATGAGATGTCGGTATGAATTTTGCATCATCTAAATGTTTCAAACAAATTTAATTGATAAGGATCTATAATTTCACCGTTTTACCGTTTGAGGAACAACAACATTTTTTATTTTCTTATTATAAAGTTCCTTTATTAGGACCTTTATTTATAAATCATTCCTCTGGGTCGTGTCATGTGAACGATTTGCAGGAAATAATGTAAATGTGTTACACTTCAATCACATCACTTACAGAAGTAATTTAAGGAATATTTAGCACCGCGAAATCCTACCTTAATTAGTTACTGCGCGACACTTTGAAACGGGTTCCTAAACACGGAGGTTTTTCTCGCCTCTCGAAGGATTTCTCCATGTGATTTTTTAATGTCGAACGTTGACTGTCAAAACTCTAAAAGAATTGGTAAACAATGGTTATATTTTAGTAAACATTCATGCAGGTAAAGGTAACACGATAGCCATCACGATGGTAATTTACTACATATTTGTACTTTAATATATTTATGTGTCTTGTACTGTCTTGTAGAACAAAAAGACTTTTTGTTTTCCAAATCATTAGTCCAAGTAATCACATTTGGATTTCCCGATTCATTTCATTTAACAACAATGGATCACAACCTTATGAAAACGTTTGAATTGAACGGAGAAGACGATGTCCAGTTTTACGATTTTCATCGGTTTATGCGCATAATTGCGTATAAAGACAACCACCAAAAAAAAAAAAAAAATTTTTTTATTTCCTTTCAAATAAAAATTTTTATGCTTTTCTCGCTCCTTTATCACTTTCTTTGATACAAAAGCTGGACTTTTGTTCTGCGCTCTTATCACAAAATTTACCCAAATTGCATCATCGGATATAACAAAATTTCCGTGTTGCAAAATTTAAATTCTCGCTAGTTTATTTTCTTTGGAAATATTTCTAAATCAGGCCCATTACTGTTTGACGGTAAACATATTAATACCCCCCAAACTTACTACAAACATGTCCAATCACGATTTCCTTGAGACATTTGTCAAAAGAATTTTCGTCATCCTTCTATCCTTATTCGTGTTGACTAGTATTGTTGGTGAAGCTTCACCGTTACGCTCACTTCATCGTCGACAAAAGGACCAGATTCCAGTTCCTGACGCCGACATTCGAGAATTTAAGCTATGGGTAAAATACGCTAGGTAAGGATTATCATCTGCTTTTCACGTGATTCTCTTCCACGGACTGACCTCCCCTTCACTTAATGACTAGTGCCGCGTATTGTGATGTGACCGATTGGAAATGTGGTAAAGCGTGTTCAGGAGAAACGGCCGAGACACGTCTAATAAAATTTTTTACGAAAACTGGGCCAAGGGACAATAATGGTTACGTGGCAATTAATGATAAAGAAAAGGCCATTATAGTAGGTTATCGAGGCACCGCAAACGTACAAGGGTTCATAAATGACATCCAATTTAATCAAATCTCATTTGATAATCCCAAATTTAAAAATGCAAAAGTACATTTTGGTTTTTTGGCCACTTATAATGACACAAGGAAAGAGATTACCAAATTAATAAAAGATTTGGTTAAAGAGAATCCTGATTATAAAGTCATTAGCACCGGACATTCCTTAGGTGGTTCATTAGCCGTGTTTCAAACCTTGGATTTAATCGGAACCCCCGGTTTGAATCCTTCTAACCTTTTAACTTATACTTATGGTGAACCACGTACGGGTAATAAAGATTTTGCTGACTTTGTGAAGAGCACTGGTTATAAATTCTTTAGAGTTGTAAATGAGAATGATATCATACCTCACTTACCTCCTCAAGACTTTAAATACGATCATTATGGTCCTGAATTTTGGGTTGATCCGTAAGTATTTAATTATTCCAACGCTTAATTCTTTGAATCTCATTCATTAACAAATTTTCTTGAAAAAAAAAAAAAACAAAAAATAGAACGAAAAAGATTGTAGAATGTCCTACAGCGGAAGATAAAACTTGTAGCAATTCTCAAGTTCCCAATTTGACATTATTAAAACATATCAACTATTTTAACACTGCATTCGTATTAACTTGTCTAGTTAAATAAAAAAAACTTCAATAAATTGACTTTGTGTCACCTCAAATTTATTAAATCGGAACACTTTGGATCCATCCAATTTTTGATGGACGTGACCACAGTATCCACATATCTTGCTAGTACCTGACACCATGGAAGCTTACGTAAAAGATATTAGCAGAATCAGAAGTCTTAGAACGAAATCTGCCATTTTTCACGTCTAACCATTCCCTGTGTCTTAAACTTAGTCACATTCTACAGCTTGTCTACTTGGATCATATCCAGTTATAAATGTTTACTAATTTACCCCCCACGTTATGATTGGCTATTATGATTGAGATTAGTTAGGGTTCAGGGTTAGGTGTTAGGTGATTTGTCACCGGCGTGAATTTTTTTCGGTGGGTGATGCTTATTTGTCACGTTATGGGATGTTATAAATAAGCATAATCAATTATACCAGCCAATCATAGCGTGGAGGGTAAATTAGTAGACCCATAAATGTTTGTATACCCGAGTCTACCTTGATTTTTGGCTCATATCTTGAGTGGTTGAGGAGTAAAAAGATATAATTCTCCAAGCTGATTTACTACAAGTCATGCATCATAATGGAGCTCTTTCAGCTGCTTTATCCCAATATTTTGATAAATTGTCAATCTTTCTTAAAACAAATACTGTGACGATCAAGAGCAAGTCTTCTGCAAAATTCTTTGGCTTCGCCACTCTCAGCACTAACATTTGTACTGAGTATCAGAGCTGAATCCTATTCTTCTTAAAGATCCATTCTACAAACTCTGATCTAAATCAACACAATCAATCCTAATAAAAAAAGTTAATAAAATATTAAAGGAAATAAAAATAAAAGCAAATAAAAAATTAAACTCCAACCTTTTGGGAAATAATCATTTCTTCGATTTCCCAGTGTGTGTTCAATCCAGTTTTTCTGGGTAGTGCTTTAGAGATTTGCGATCTGTTTTATGAGGTCATCCCGTTGATGCTCAGAGGCCTGCATGAATCCAAATTTTGAAGCTCAGACTTTAAGACAAGTATTAAAATCCAGCCCAGCCCAGCCTGGACTTAAATTTCTGTATTAAAAAGCTCTCCTGCCCGACCCAGACTTAATAATATGCTAACTTTACTCAATAATTAATTTATGCTATTTATCGATGCGAAATTTAATAGTCAATAATTACAAATACCAAAAATAGTAATGTATCAAAAATAAAACTATATGCTATGTAAATCTAAAATATTATCTATCCATTATTGATTGCTCTTGTGTGTCAATAATTTCATTAAAATATAAACTTCACCTTTTATGCATTTTTTTTTTTCTTGACATTTTAAAACTCCTTTATTTACATATTTCATTATTTAAATTACAAGAATTATAAAAAATCCGGAACCCGGTACCGGCTCGGAAAATTCTAAATTGCCGGCCCGGACCCGGCCCGTTGCAGGCCTCTACTCTGAACTAACTCTGGCGTAGCAGATCTTGGCCTTTTGTGTTTGTTGGTTTTCTGTAATTGAATAGAGTCATTTTCCACATAGAAATTCTTCCGGAGTTGGCCCATCGTCACAATGTTTCAACTGAGACGTCATACGTCTCTTAATTTTACTTGTCACTTGGTAAGAGATCTTGTTCTGAGCCAGGGTGTAAAAAATATGATTTTTGTTTAGGAATATGAGTTACAAACAAAGCTGTGTGTATTAAAAATTATTTTTCCTTATATTTTGATTTTAAAAATGTGGAGATTTACACAAACTGTATTAGATATTAGTAATATTCGAAATCGTCACAACGGTGCAACCATGCATTGCATTTTTGCGCAAACCCTTTTTGCATTTCATGTTACATTTGAACAACCATTCATTAACCTATAATATAACGAGGTTATAAGCCTCGTTAAAGTTTCAAAAGTGATGACCAGAATAAGATATTCAATATCATACAAATCAAACATTTTCATGGAACAAAATTTTTTATCATCACCATGATTTCTGAAAGTATCATCTTTTACCATCATACGCTTTATTGTGCAATACTCTCTGAGAAGAAATAGGAAACGAAATAAATCAGAAAGAAAAACCTTCAAGAAAAGCAAATATATTTTGTCTCCCTCCAGTAAATACACTAAGTGGAGGTAACGCTTAAAATTTACGCTCTGGTAAGCTTTCCGACCAAATAAAAGTGTGAAAAAATCATAGTGACGTGTCGAATGGATATCCGTAAATTAAAAATCATTTTCATTTTTAATATTACACAAAAAAAAATAATAAATCATAATCGGAAAATGACAAACCTCCTCCAAATGGAAAAAAATTAACTTTTATTACAATTTTGTTCTTGTTTAA